TTTCGCTCTCTTCACTTGCTGGGTTTTGCACCTGCTTTTTCATGCCCATATTCTTTATCTCTGTGGTTCCTACTCATTTGAGGTTGCAGTCTAATGATAATTTGCTCAAGGGAGACTTGCTGAATTGCCACCCATAGACATAACACCTAGTAACCAGGACAACACCTGGCAACTGTTCCTCAGCCTTTACTTAAATGTCCTCTTAGGCTCTTTCAGACCAGCCTGTATAGAACAGCAATGTCTCCATTTGCCTGAGATTCCCTATCTTTCCATAACCTGTTGCTTTACAGCCTGACATATTGCATATCCATTTGTGGGTTTTTTTTTTTGGCTTATTATACCTCCCCTCACTAGAATGTAGGCTCCATGACACAGACATGTTATCTGTTATTTGTCTTAATACTGTGTCCCTAACACCTAAGACGGTGTTTGTCTTACAGTTAGTGTTGAATAAATATTTAATAATTTACTGGTAAATGAATTAGAGAAGGCTTGAGGTGTTGGGACATGATGGTTGTCTTCAAATATTTGAAAGAGAGAGAGAATATGATAATAAGAGTAACTTCATTTATTTATTGAATTGAGTTTTCAATATCTGTGCTTAGTTCTCTGAAAGATAGTCAGCTCCATGAGGGCATGAGGAACATTTGATACCATCTGATTTCCAGTGCATTATAGTACCCAGCACATAATTATCGCAGAATAGATACTGATTGACTAAATGGTTGGGATATGAAGCAAATTTTAACTCAATGTAATAATGAACTGTCTAATATAATAATGGACTGCTTTAAAATGAGCTAGTTTTGTGAGATGGGGAGGGTGTCACTGAAGTGCAGTGTCTCTCTCTCTGACTTACTGGACTGGTATCCCTGCGCTGAGTAGGGAATTAGGATACACGCCTTTAAAGTCCCTTCCAGCTCTGAGAGTCTGTGATTCTACGTAAAAAAAAGTCAACAGGGCTCCCCGGTAAAAGAGTGAACAAAGGCACAGAACAGAAAGAAGAGTTCTTTAAAGTAGAGGTTAGTTCCTGTCAGGTTAAATTTCTGTTCTGAGTCCATCCACTGCCTTAATTCTCCATCACTGGCACCCTTGTCCCAATGGCCATGGTGTCCCCTCTGGACTCCTGACTTATCTTTGTTCCTTCCACTTTCCCCCCACAATGCATTCTCTACATAGTAACTAAGGTAATTTCGTTAAAGCGTGAATCAGATTATATCACTCCCCTCTTTAAAACCTTCTTATGACTCCTTCTTGCACTTAAAGTCTAAATTCCTCTTCTTGGTTTACAATACCCTCCACAAGCTACCCCGTTTGCCTCTCCAAACTCAAGGTAAACCACGGTCTCTTGCCAACTACGCTGACCTCCTTTTCTGTTCTTTGGAACATGCCTTCCTTTACCTAGAACTTTTTTTCAACTGCTCTTTAAATAACTGGTTCTTATCTCATTATTCAGGTCTCCGCTCAGATATCATCTTAGAGAAGCCTTCCGCGACCACTCGGTCTTGTTATTCCTGGTCATTCTCCTTCACAATATCCTGTTTTGTTTTCTTCATAGCAGTTAGCACTATTTGAAATTATTTGTTTTCTTTCTCCTCTGCTAGAATATAAACTTCATGAGAGCAGGGAACTTTGATACTCTGGTTATCAGTGTCCAGAATAAAACCTGCTACGTAGTAGGTAGTATTTGAGAAATGAATTGATAAGTTAACTACTTCCAGTTCTAGCTGGTAGAGTGGCATTTCTTGAATTAACATAATTATTACTCTTTTGCTGTATGGGTTACCATAGTTCTCTTCATACACAAGGTACAAACTCCCAGTACCCAGGTGGGGCACAAGGGCATTTAGCGTAGGCAATAAAATTAGCTACTGAAAAGTAAGGTTAACTGGCAAATTAGGATTAAGGGTTTATTCTGTTTTTATTGTTGAATAATTGGTAATATTTTTTTATCCCCTCTTTTCCTTTGATTCCATTATGATTTAAAGAGCTTAATAAAAGTAATTTTTAATTCCTAGAGACTATCTTCAATTAACTTCATTCATAAAACCTTCAATAAACCTTTTTGTGCTTTCATCCTATGGACAAGCTTAGTAACATTTCTTACAGTCTCTTTTGGACTTTCTCAGTATATGTTACAGGTTTGTTTTCTTAAAGGGAATGGTTTAAATAATTGATTGGCTAAAGAATCCTAGTTAGCTACTGTTGTTTCAGAATCTGATATCCTCAGGGGGTCAGCTTCACATAATACCAGTACATGAGGCATTTTTGGAATGAATTTTATTAGCCAAGATCTATTGTACAGGGACAAATGTGACACTCCATTCCTTGTACAAAGATCAGAATCACAACAATCTATTAAATTGGCTTTATAAATTTTATTTTAAAATTTTTATGAAGCTGATAAGAATTTATAAAGCTATGCTGTTTTACCAAGTTTTATACCAAGACCAAATCATGATTCAGTGCCTTAAAAAGGAGGGGGGATTACAGCTCACTGTACAGCTCACTCGAGCATGAATTTGGATTTCTTGGTAGGAAGCTTCGGATCTTCTACAGTTTAACATTGTAAACTGTAATAATGATCCCGAGTAAGTCCTCACCACCGCTGAGAGAGCTGTTTTGTTTCACCACATGTGAAAGAACGCCTTCCCTTTCTATTCTCTATTTGTTCCATGTCTGCCTGCCTGTGGACTATTTTAAAAATTAGTTCCTGGGTTCATAACTCTGAGAGTACTGGGACATCCTGAGAAAACTGCCTGGTAGAGAGCACGTAGGAATCTCCCCATCGCCCCCTACTTCAAAACTATCACGTTAATAGCAAATTAATCTTGAAAGATGACAAAAATCTCCCGGTTTTCATGAGCCCCTCAAACACTTTTAGAACATGATTAATACTTTAAGTAATGCAAAGAGGATTGCCAGAAATATTGGGATATAATTATTAAAAAAAAATTAACTCCTAGTAGAACTGATATCCTAGTGTCAATCATCTGAAAAAAAAATTTAACCAAATGTCACAATTTGAAACATTTAACTTGAAGCTATAGAAGTAGAAAAAGTGGAGAGTAAATAATCCCAGCATTAATTTTTAGATAGCTGCTTCATTTTATAGCATATTAATTAAAGAAAATCAGTAAAATGGTGAAGAACCCCATTGACGCTTTCTCAGATGTGACCTAAATTGCTTCACAATTCTTGATTGGCAAAATTATCTTATTTGTCTCTAATTTGACAGTGAGGAAGGTGGTTTGAGCACAACAAGGAAAAACTAAGTTATGGGAAAATATGTCCTAGATATTAACAAATTAAGAATTTAAGGTGTATATTCATATGATTCTTTTTAAAATTCATAGTGTAATTCATTGACATGAAAAAATTACCAAACTCTTAATTCAAGTACACATTCTTTTTACACTCAAACCTCAAAATTAAATTTCCCAATGTGTATGCATGTGTGACCTTCTTTCTCCCATTAGGAAGAAAATTGATTAAAGGCTTGGAAATTACAATTCTAAAGTGAATCTTGGAGATTATCTTCCCCAAACCTATTATATTACAGTCAAGATATTTGTGATCCAAATGTGCAACTCACTCAAAGATATACAGCTAATTAGGTACTGAGATAAGACCAGCGCCCAGATCCCCCAAATCCCATGATATTGTACTTTTATATGAATCACAGTACCTCTCCGAAAACAAGGGTGAGGAGCAACATAGGTGAGGAAGATGGTAGTACTCACCCCGTACCTACATTTAAGAATACCCCAGCCACCCACATGACAGATTCCATATGAAAAGTTCCTGATTTGTAGTTATCTCCTATGCCTTGTAATTTAGTCATTCCATCTTAATTACATTACTGTCTAATAATAAATCTTATTTATACTACCAGCCTCCCAGTTACACCCTCTATACAAGGGGCTCTCAGCCAGGAGCCATCATGCTCCGCTCCCAGGAGATAGCATGTCTGGAGGCATTTTCGGTTGTCAGAATTGGAGAAGAGGGAGCAGTGCTAGTGGCATCTAGTGGGTAGAGACCAGGGATGCTGCTACACATCCCACCATGCAGGCTTGTCAGTTCATAAACAAGGGAAGGGAAGCTCTCTGTACCTAAGTCAGCCTAAAGTAAAGGTCATCCAACTAAATCAAGATTATATCTACATAAAGGCAAAGGCTAACAAAGTCAGGTTTCAGGGCATACACTTATCAGTATTCTTCGAGTCTAATGAAAAAATGCATTACTTTTGAAGGATCATTATGTAAATTTTGGAATTGAACAGAGAGAGAGTCTATATTCAAAGGTGATGCTGTCACTATAGCCAAATATCTACATAACCATTCGCATTAATTTGGTTCCCCTGTAGGAAGTTAACATAGACAATCATAGTTTTATTATAAACTGTTTATATTCTAATGTCCTTTAGATACTTGTTTATATAGGATCCAGAGAGAATGAATCACTTTTCCTTAATGGTGGGTTAGGTAGAAGAATAAAAAAGGAATATTTTGTTTTACTTGGCCTTATTCAACAACTTGGCAGTTGTTTCATTGGGGTCATCCTGCCCTGGCTTGTTTTGTTTTAAGTGTTTAATTTGATCCTTTTGTGATGATCTGACTTGTCCTGGGTAACAAACTGAAATGAACTTAGTAAAAATAGAATCCTTTTTCTTTCTATGACAGAATGCTTTTTCAGAGTCAGAGATAAGATATTTTGTACTGAACCATCAGTGAGATTTTGCGACTGTCAGAAGTTTGCTAAGTAGGGTGAAATGTCAACTGTTTATTTTTACAATGTTGATCCAGAATGGAGAAACTTAAAACAGCCAACTTCACTCTGAGCCTCTGTGTATTTAAAAGGCTATCTCCAGCATACAATTTCTCTAACTTGCCATGCAGCTTCTGAGATAAAAGTTTTATGCATTTACTGCTTTAAATTGTAATCATAAATCATACAAACCAAGAAATGTCCAGCAGGCATGGTATCGGAGTACTCTGTCCTTTTTAAGTTACTGTGTGTTGTTTGTTCTTGTTGTCACAGTATATTTAGAATCAGCAGCTTAGGCAATAAAAGATACTTAATACAAGTCAAACATAGTATCAACATTATTCAAAATTCAGTTGAAGATAAATTTTGCTTTGCCATCTTTTAACCATAACCTGAATTTGACTCAATGTAGTCTTAACATTCAGTTGACCATGAAGTAAGTTAAATTTTGAGCACTCTTTGCATAGTGATTACTGTTATTTCATTTTGGAAAATGTCAGCATAAGTTTTTGAATTTTACTATACACATTTTAACTATTCTCCTTTCTAAACTAATACTAGTAATTTTAGCATTATTAATTTGTTCATTCATTGACAATCTTTGAACCCCTACTGTGTATTAGGCACTATTACTGTTCCAGAAAATAGAAAGGTGACTAAGACACTTTAGAGGTCCCCAGGGACTTTCCAGTGTGTTATGTACTACGGAATGCAAAAGTGATTAGTTGAGCAGGAGGAAGGTGGCATGAGGGGTAGGCAAGGTGGGTATGGAGTTTTAAAGAAGTATTGGAAGAGGAATGGGAATTAAGGAGACAGAAAAGGTAAGGAGGACCATTCCTGGTCAAGGAAATAGCACATGCAAGAGAATGTATTATGAAAGAACTTGGAAGACTCGGATCTACAGTTGGTCAGTTCTAGATGGGGTGTAGGATGGGTAAGTGGAGGTAAGGCTCAGACCTTGAAGAAGAGGCAGGGGTGCATACCGACTAAGAGCATATACTTCTGTATTCAGCTGACTTGGATTTTAATCCTAGCTCTGCCCCATATTTGCTGGTTACTTACCATGTCCTTTTCTTAATTGCAAAGTAGAAATATAGCACACAACTTGGCATACAATGAGTTCTTAATAAATGAGCACACAATTTGACATATAGTGAGTTCTCAGTAAATGGTAGCTATCACTGTTAAGAAGTTTATACTTGGGGGTTGGGTTGTAGCTCAGTGATAGAGTGCGTGCTTAGCATGCATGAGGTCCGGGGCTTAATCCCCAGTACCTCCATTAACAAATTTGTAATAAAAAGATAAACATTAAAAAATTTTATACTTACCCACTAAGCAGTAAAAAGCCATTGAATGACTTTAATTAAATAATGACACCATTATCTTTCCATTTTTTAAGTAGAATGTAATTAGGATAGTAGAGAAT